TTTTACGTTAGGGCCGGATTAAGGATTACGAGACTATTGTAATTTGAGTACTTGACGCATGTTGTAGAACGTGTATACTTAATTTAGTTATGTTTATTTAAGTTAGTCTTATCTTATGACGCAGGCAATATGAGTTAAACTCCTGATAGGGTCATTTAGAAAACTTCACTTTTCTTAAGTTGACAACAACTTAAGAAAAGTGAAGTCTAAATGACCCTGTCAACTATGCGTTGTCATAAACTACCTACAAAGGTTTAGAAACAACATGTTTCCCGAAGATTCTATGAGAGGTGCATTTTTTCGGTAAATGTAAATATTGGGTCGTCGAACACGCAATTTAGGGGTGTTAATTACTCTCAAAGTAATACAATAAAATACCCGCGTGATTAATCATCATTCACATGATGACTGATCAAAGAAAGTGGTTGATCAAAGAAAGCGACTGATGGGGTGCTGATCAACGACGGAGGTCAACGATCTACTAAATTACAAAGTTTTTGCCCTGAGTACCTCCCAGTAGTTGCCTCCAAACAGCTGTGTTTTATGATGTAGGGTTGACAATACAGACTTTTCAAGCAAATCTTTATCATTGAATAACTCGGAAACTATTACACTTAGAGCAAAAAGACTTTCAGTACAATTAAGTACATATTTAAGACTCTTCACAGTTTTCCGCTTTGTCGGTCGTTCTGTTCCACCCGGTATAGTATTTAATTTATCATCAAATTTTTTCTAAAAAGAACCCGACGTAAATATCTTTGCGTAATTGGCTATTGGGTGTAAGACAAAACAAAACAATTTGATTCGATCTCAATTTTAATATCAGTCGAGATGAAGTTTTATTCGAAATGAAATGTCAATAGCAAACAATTTTGACAAATCTCACACGTTACCTGATATCGAACGATATGATAGTTGGGGCCGACTCTAGTTTGTCTATGAATTAAAAAAAAAACTACGGTTGCGTGACATGCGTAAGAAATAAGTTTTTTGCATTATTTTACTAATAATTACTG